AAAAAGCCTTGTTTTTTCTGGGTACCAGCTGGGAGAGATGGGGGGAAGAGCCAACCAACTGTGCTGTTATTTTCTCATTTTCTCCAAAAAATATCGATGCAAGCTCTTGTGCATTGCTGAGCACCTGCTCCTTTCCCTCGTGGTATTAGCTGTTATTTTTCTCCTGGGAATCACTCATCTCTGTCACTGTCATTTTCCCTCAGAGCTCGCGTGGCAGCATGGCTGCACTTGAGGATAACTTGGCCAGGCACAGGAATTAAAAATGGTCCTAGGAGGCTGGCGGTCCAGTGCGGTGCTGGGCTGAGCCGTCTTGGAGGGCTAATTCCTTTTATTCAGACTATTGGAACCAACTTTTTCTTCCCATGTAGACAGTTCTCAGTGGCCATGTAGGAAAATAAGATTATTTTATTAAGGGATGGGAGATGACATTAGGCTCCTTTTACACAACTGGATGCATGACAAAGACCAAATTAATCACAAAGAGTTGTCTTCTGTTATGTAAAATCTTGATGCCTCCAGGAAGTAAATGCCAAGCTGCAATCTGAGTTGTTTATTTTAGAAATGAGTGACAGAGAAAGTGGTGCCTCTGTAGGGCAGAATGCTTGTTTTTAGCAATGTGGCCCGTGGATGTAGCTCAGATCTTGGAGGAGTTGGGTAGGTTAGCAAAGCTGAGTGTCTGCCCCTCCTTAGACAGTGACTTTTCCTCCTTGTGCTTACGGGAATCCTAAGGTTTATGACTAAGTATTTCTCCCGCTGCTGAGGTATCACCCATGGAAGTAGTGATTGATACCTGTCAGGCAGGGCTGGGATTTTTGCCTTTTGTTTTTCTCTAATAGTCACAATGGAAAATGCAAGAAATTCCAGGCTAGCTGTTACTGACAGTTGCTGAGCTATCAATATTTCTTATATTCAAGTAGCTCATCTTGCTATCGGGCAGGGCAATAATTCTGCTTAAGAGGCGGTGCTGTTGTCTTTTGAGTGGTAGCTTTGAGCTATTGAGTTAACGGAACTTAACACTGAAAATTTCACATGTTCTGAGCACATGTGGACAAGTTTCTTTACATGTCTCAGGTATTTACAGTGTTCTTCAGTGCCTGTGTGAATTCCTGTTTCTCCAAAGCAAGCGTGTGTATCACAAATAGCTTATCTGCTAAAGAATCCTTGGCTGTAAAATAGAAATATTCAGCCCTGCTACAGTGACAGTTGCTCCCCAGGGCTGTGTTACAATTTGTGAGCCGTCAGATGTGTGTGCTTGCTGTTCTTGGTATGAGCAGACCCTCCTGAGCGCCTCATCGTTACTACGAGACCAAGCGCAACATGTGTGTTTTTGTAGCTCCCTTTCACGCGGGAGGGATGTGTGGGCTGCACAGTCTGCTTGTTGTTCCAAGCTGGAAGTGGCCACAGGGATGCAGTGTGATCGGGTCAACAAAGCTTGCTTTGACAAAAAGCAAAATCAAAATCGCTGATCTTCATATTTTAAGTTTGCAAATATGGAAGATTGATCAGGGTGGCAGTGGACTTGACATCTCGTTTGGGAGGCTGCGTGAGAAGAATGTCTTTCGGCTCTGTCCAGTGTGGTACCTGCATTGATGCACACAGCGCAGAGCATCTCAAAGATGAGCTGCTCCACAAAGGTGTGCTGGTGCTCAGGAATATTTCTGGTTAACTCAGTTTTGCAGATGACTGTCATCAAAGGGACAACCTGGGGAGAAAAGGGAGAAAACAAGTCTTTATTTAACGAACAAACGCTCTGTGAATATATGGTATGTAATATGCATTGGGGCTAAAAAGCAGAAGTTCCTGTACAGACTCTAATCACTGAGAGATGCAAAACAATTTAATTATATATATGCATTTTATAGTATGATACTATTAATAGAGGAGATGGAGGGTATTAGCACTGAGGTAGATGAGTAATTCTTTTGAAGGTCTGGAATACCAGTGATCCAATTGCAAACGGATCACAGTTGTGATGAGTCATATGTTAGCCTCATTCAGTGACTAAGAAATGGAGCAGCCATCGATGTCCGAGCTGAGTCACAGCTTCTGCATATTTCCTGAAACCATTTCAGTTCGATAACGGCAGAGAACTTCAATCTGCTCTATTTGTTTGTATTGTAATCTGCAGCCTGTAAAATACTGGTATGCATAGTGTTTATGAGATCAGGCAAAAAGCTAGAACAAACCAAAATGGACATGCCAGGTAGGATGGGTGAATAAGGAATGGTCTCCTGTAACTACTTCTTTATTTTTCTTTCCTTTATAACTATTCCCTCCTTGTGATGCTAAACATCTGTTTCATTCCTTATGACACACAAGTGGCCCCTCTGACTTCTTGGCATTTGTGAGATAACAGAACTTAAAAAAAAAAAAAAAGTAGTAAATCAAAGACCCCTTCTATGCACAGCAGAAGTAGGACACTGTGTCAATCTCATTCTTAGAGTTTTGGAAGGTTGGGTGTCTGGGAGCTGGTCACTAAACCACCTGTTTCTTTGGGGCTCTAGGTTGCTAAAAAATAAATAAAATAAAAGCTGAATCCAATTATGCTTTCAGGTCCCTTGTTATTCATAAACCTTGTTCAAATCTGGCTTTGATAATATATTTTATTTCTCTGCTTTTTTGAAAAAATAGAGAAGTGAAACTTCTTGCAGGCTCAGATATCTGCATCTTTCTGATAAACTGTAAGTAGCCAAAATGATACAACAGTGGGAATGTAAAAGGATGTAAATCTATAGGAAGTGAAGAAGTGAAGGAAAAGGAAACTAACTGGAAAGTGACTAGAAATAAGTACAAATCCAACACCTGGCTAGCAGTTAAAATGTTTTTAAAAGAAAATGTTACTTAAACAGCATGAAGCTGTGGAACATGATTTCTCTTATCTATCTTAGAATTACCTTTTGCAAGTTTGTGGTAACAGGGGTGAACTGTTCTCTTAGTACTGCTGCCTTTTACTGATGATGAACACAAAGAAGAGAAATACAGAATTAGGGGAAAATGAATTGCTAGTGCTGTGTCATTAGGAGCGAAACCGAATCTACACCCTTGGAAACACTGGAGAGCGGCAGTAGGGTTGTCCTCTCCTGTCACCGCTCCGGGGCCGGGTCTCGGCCATCCCCGCCTGCCTGCGCTCCCTGCGCCCTCCGGCGCTGGCCACGCGCTGCGAGTCTCTCCTGGGAAGAACGCACAAGTCAGATAACTTGGCAGAACAATGCAAAACTTTGCGTTCTGAAGACCATCACTGAAGTTACCGTGCACCAACGACGGTCAACACTATGTATATAATGTTATCAAATGATGACTGCCTTGTAGCCAAATTGTAGCCACGTTAGTACTTTATTATTCTTTTTCCTCTATCAACATTATAGTGGCAACATGGAAGCCCTAGCTCCTGGATAGAAAGTAGCCTTTCAAAATGCAATTTGAAAGCTCCCAGACTCTTTGTGCCAGAGTTTTCATGTGGTAAACGTAAGGAGCTTTGTGTACAAGCATGTGATGATTTTTATTGAGTGCTTTGACGGGGGGAGGGTTTTTTTTTTTTCCTCTCCAAAACTGGTTAAATTAGATCTTCAGAGTCACTTTTTTAATAAGCTGTAATCCTGCTTTTACACGGCTAAAATTTGTGAGTTCAAACCTCTTTTAAAGCTACACCACAATTACAAATATTGCAAATATTTGTAAGTTAGATGGAATTTCCTTTTATTTCCCAGTGACCTACATCCCCCCATGAATGCTGCCCTGTCTTCATGCTTATGTTTTGAATCTATTCTTTCTTTCTTTATTGGGTCCGCTCACTCTGTGTCTTGATTAGTGTCTGACTAAAACTCCATCTCATTAATATTTGTGCACATGAGTAACTTTATGCATCCAGGCAGTTGCTGGTTTCATATGCATGACTAGGACTGTCTTGTGAGCAAAGCTCCATAGCTGGGGGAGGCAACAGGCAGCAATTTCAGCTAACGATAAATGTGGGGCTCTGTTTCAGAACAATGCACTAGTGCTGGAGCGTATTTTAGCTGGTTGCAAGCATGATGTGTATGGCATTTGTGCTGGAAATCGGTATGCTGGGGAGGTGCCAAGGCATGGTGTGGGTGTATGGTGGGTTTTTTGTGTCTCTAGAAAATGGCAGCCTTTTATTTTAATAAAGTTGGATCGCATATTAAGGACAAAGTGAAAATGCTTCAAGATTTTTGCAAAACTGAGACTAAGGGAGAAATCATAAACTATTTTTATGAGTGGCAACCAAAAATGAACTCCAAAGACCTGAAAAAAGCTTTTAGAAAAACTATTAAAATTGTGTAAGAGGGAGAATTTAAAAACAGTCTGTTTGATACTTACTAAGTTCTTGACCAAATTGGGTTCCTCCCTGAGATGAGTTTCATGCTGTCCTGAAGCTTTCTGACCTTCTCATCATTCTGGTCAAGTTTTCCTTCTTTACTTTCATCTATGGTAATAGCTCTGATTTTATTTTTCCTATATTTTACAGTGGTTTGAACTTCCTTGATCTGATGGTGCGCCAGGGGAATATTGACAACCCTCCTAAGACACCACTTGTTCCTGGCTTTGAATGCTCTGGGATTGTAGAAACTCTTGGAGATAATGTGAAAGGATTTGAGGTAATACCTTTGTTTTCTTGGCGTGAGCAAATAATCACTTGCTCACTAAATATTTTGCCCCAATCCCTTCAACCAGTGATAGCAGTTTTCATCACCACATTGAGTCCAAAACAGCATTTTTTCCATGCTGGTTCCCACACGTAAGAATGAGATCTTGAATGAGTTTCTAAAGGCACTGCTATTACTTCCAAATCCTGCAAAGTCAGTGCTGTGCGCATATGCAGCAGGAACTGCAAAGCATGACTGATGCTCCTTAAGAAATTAAAAGAAATTGAGTTAGGCTGTTAAGCTTCTTTGTTTGGTATCGTTTCATGTTCGATATCGTCGTTCTGTTCCTCAAAACCCACATGCTGCTGAGCTTAGCTCCAGTTTTTGATCTTGAGTTAGGAAGACCCCATCTACATCAAATATTGTCTCTCACGTTCATGTGCATCATGTAGTGCAGGTAATGGAACCTGATTCTGGGTATATGACTTTTCAGAACTAACAAGGAAAAGGATCGGTTTCACTTAACAGTGAATAGTGCTAAATAAAAAATAGCTAAAAGATACAACAAAGCTCTTGTAGCTGGTTGACCTTATGTTCTCTTCAGTACCTCTATTGCTTACAGTATTCTGTCCCACCTCATATTCCATTATGATGTTAAACATCTCTGTTCCATGAAATCTTGCACTTTATTTCCTACAGGAGGCATAAACATTCTGAAACAAGAAAGAAGTGAGTTAATGCACATCAATCCTATCTTAGCTACTTGCTGAGTCAGTCCTGTCATCAAATAATTGCATTTTTGAATTTGTATTCTATCTATGTCTTAAGGCAATTACCCAAAATATCTTTATTTAAAGGTTACATTTTTCTCTTCTAGAAGAGCTTCAGAATTTTTCAACTGAGTAACGATAATGGCCCATTTAGTTCTCAGTAAGGTCTCAATAATAAGCTCTCAACAGAACATTTATCCCCTTTCCCCTCCTGCCCTATGTCCTCTGCACAAAAAAAATCACAATTCAACATTTTTGAGATAAACACTGACTTAACACTAGCTTTATTATTTGAAAAAAAAGTGTTTCAGATTTTCAGCTCTTGCATTCTGTATTCTATAGTTACATTCCATAGAGAAAAGTATCCTGTGATAGTAATATAGAAAGTCTCTGCCGTAGATTAGCCTTCTTAGTTTCAAGTTAATGCTATTTTTAAAGGGAGTCATAAGGTTGTAGCATATGGCGTGTGTTTGAATGACATTGCACCTGGCTGAATATCCTGGGAGATCCATAAAATCTGCGAACACACACTAGTGTTTGTGGACATCCAGCACTTGAAAACAACTGCTCTACACAATGTGAAGCCATCAGGGAAATGTTTTATGAGGAAGAGGACACTGTTTATTTCTGGAATACAGCAATGCTCATACACAGAACAAGAGGATGCCATATGGCTGCCTTGTCAACAACAGTGATGGCTGGAACGCCAGAGATCGCACCCCGCGTCTTCTGGCTTCCTGCTCTTTGGAAACTCCATGCAGGTCATGGGGATTTCATGCACTTGAAAAATGCGTCTGTTCTGAGACGCTTTCTTGAACCTGAGATACCGTCAGCCATTTAGTGTCTTAATCTGCTGTGATTGTGTTATGGTGGCAAGTCACTGCATGGAGTGGCAGCCCATCTTGACAGAGATATGTAGGAATGGAACTTAACTGAAGGAAAGCCTTTGTTTTGCAACAACATTTAAAGAAAAAAAAACAACCAAACAAACCCCCAACTATTCCTTTTCCCATTAAAACAAATAGCTGAATTTATGTTGATTTCAGGTGAAATGGGTCTAATCTCTCTAGCTGTGGCAATGGTTCTCAGGAACCTAAGACTTATCTGTCACAAAGACTGTGTAACATTTTTACTAAAATGTAGTTTTTATTAATACTAGGAAAGAATCACTAGCAGGCACTTCTCTGGTCTGCTTTTTTTTTAGTAATCATTTTTGTTTGCAAGGGTGCAGAACACACTAACATCCTCACTGATTAATTTTAGCAGAAGTCACATTTAAGACAATTCTGTCACAGAAAGGGGGACTACAGAGTGGTTGCTAGTGATGCATTGTTAACTTGAATCTATTTTTCAAAAGGAGGAGGAATTTTTGTGAAAGCAGAATGACAGTTTTGTTTCAACATCCTCTTTCTAAAAGATGTAAGCCCTTCAGAACTGTCGCCAGCACCTTAGCATTTAGCAAACTCCCAGTATCCCCAAGCCAAAGTGATGACAAGTACTTGAGAGGCCAAAATGTTCCTGTTACAAACTCTTGCCTGAAGGCACACAGTAAATGTTCTTTACTCATTTACTGTGGAGTGTAGCTGAAATAGCCTAAGAATAACCCATGCTATCATCATTTTCTTCCTTGTGTTTAGATTGGAGACAGAGTCATGGCTTTTGTAAACTACAATGCATGGGCTGAAGTTGTATGTACCCCAGCAGAATTTGTCTACAAGATCCCAGATGACATGAGTTTTTCTGAAGCTGCTGCTTTTCCTATGAACTTTGTAACTGCCTACATGATGCTCTTTGAAGTTGCTAACCTAAGAGAAGGCATGTCTGTTCTCGTTCACTCTGCAGGCGGCGGGGTGGTAAGTTGAACCTCCTTCTTTGCCTTTTTCTCTTCTTTCTTGTCATGTACATTGCTGGAACAGTCTGCACCTTGATTCCTCGTGTGAGCCTTCAGTTCGATCTGATACCAAACTGCCTGATGTAAGGAATTGCAGAGGAACCACCTCTGTTTCCCCATTAAAGGACTAGTGTGAATGGTTGGCAGAAGTGTTTGGTGAAATAAAACAGCCCTGATAATAAACCCTACTCAAACTACTTACAAAAAAACAGTAGCAGGCAATGAGTTCAAGAAGCAAGTATGGCCCTAAACATTGCAATCTGAATGTATGCCCTTGGTGGTACCTCAATATCAAAAGGATATTGAAGGCTGTATAAAGGCTGTAATCAAAGGAATAAATAAATTGGCTCCCTGTGTAAGGTATTTGTAGATAAGCATATCCTTAAACTGTCTTCCTGTAATACTCCCACAAATACAATTACGTGTGATGTAGAAGATGGTCATTTTTCCCCCTTTGTTGTGGAGGTATTAAAAGCAATGTAAAATGTTACCATGCAAGCCTGAGGAAAGTAAGCAAATGTAGAATTTGAGTCGGCACCGGCTGCTGTGTCACAGCTTGGATCAGCAGCGGAGATGGCTGCGCAGCAAAGCAACCACTGCTGGCTTTGGGAGAGCACCGAGCAGAGCCACCAGGAAATCAGAAGGTGACAGGGGGTGTCACCAGGTGTTTGAATTAACTTCTAGAAAATAACATTCTCATGGAAAAGATTTAAGCTTCTGTAAAACATTAAGATACTGACAGAGGAGTTTGTTTGCTTATTGAACTATGTAGGGTTTTTTTCCATATGACAGGTCTGTGACTCGAGAACAGTAGCAGATCTTAGTGATTTAAATTAGAGTACTTCTGTTTTTCTGTTAATGTGCTTATTTATGCTAATTTGACATTCTCTTGACTACTGAAGCCTGGCAGGCAGCCCCAAACACCTTATCCCTATTTCTATGTCTTTAGACCTTCTTTCAGGACCTCATATAAAAGAAGGCTGTAATCAAAGGAATAAATTCATCAGTTCTCCACACAAAGTATTTTTAGCTAACGATAATCCTACTTGCAGAAAATGTTCCTCTTGGAATACTTCTGTAAATGAATGGAATTTATAATCTTATTATGCTTCAACACAGTACAACCTAGAGCATTATGGCTGACTTTATTGTTCCTAAATATTAAATCTTTTCATGTGGAATTTAGACTGTTAAAACAGCTGCGGTTACCAAGCTGGCCCAACTTTACTTGGAAGCCATTTGCCTAATTGATACAGTGCAAACCCAGGGCCGAGCATACAGAATCAGAAAAATCCCCCCTAAAATCCCAATTCATATGCAGTATATCTGGTGAAAATGGGCTCCTTGTCCTCATTCTGTTGCAAGGATCCTTTCCTCATTTCTTGTTCTCTCTCTTCCCTTCCCTACTTTCGCTCACCTCTGTTAGTTCTTCCTTCTCTTCCCTTATACACTATCAATCCTCTGTCTCCTCTCACACAGTGTCCTTCCCTAGTGACCAGCATCTCTGCTGGACTGTTCCCATCAAGAGCTGTTCTTTCTGTGAGCATCCTTCTGCTGGTCCTCAGCTGCGGCTGTTTGGGCATGTCCTTTGACAGAAACTAAAGGAAGGACAGGTCCTGGCTGGCTGCCAGAACAGGGAGAGATCAGATCTTTCACCTGATAAGTATTTAAATAAACCAGAGTTTCTGGAGTTACGACCAGAGTCTGGGGAAGAACAGCAGGGCATCCCTGTAGGGGCTGTGTGTGAGCCCAGAGGGAGGACACATCCGAGGGACAAGGGGCTGCCTCGCTGGCCAGTGGGAAGCTGATGCTGGGCCACAGCAGAGGAGCCCCAGTGCTCCATCCTGTAACTTTAAGACATTGCTTTAGACACCGTGATTTGAGACCCTACCACGTCTGCCTGTTCTACCCGCAGGGTGCTCTGCACTACGGTACCTAGAACCACAGCCCCGTGTAGTCAGGCCCTCCATGTGCAAAACAGGGAAATCAGAACCAAGTTATAATCTGCACTGTGTATCTCCAAAGGCCATACAGTTTCTGTTGTCTCTTTCATTCCTTTAGCAGTTTAAAAAGTCTAATAACTACAAGGCTTATGCTACAATGCTGCTATCTGGAAGCCAAATGCGAAGCCCAAGCACTCGGCAGTGTTTTTTTTTTTTTTACAAAAAAAAAAAACTAAACACAAAAAAGCAGCTCTCCATCACCTATCAGCAGTTCCAGTGAACCAGAGTGTTCCCGGATGAGGGGGAACTACAGGCCTGTCAGCCTGGCCAGGTGACCTGCCTGGTGGCTGAGGGAAGGGCTGTGGACATGGTCTTCTTAGGCTTCAATAAGAGGAAATGGCCTCAAGTTGTGCCAAGGGGTTCAGGTTAGATATTATGAAAAATTTATACATGGAGAGAGTGGAGTCACCATCCCTGGCAGTGTTGAAGAAATGTGTAGATGAGGTGCTTAGGGCTGTGGCTTAGCAGGCATGGGGGTGATGGGTTTACAGTTGGTGTTGATGATCTCGAAGGTCTTTTCCAAACATAATGATTCTATGCTCAATATCTCGCAGAACATTTGGCTGTCACTGCTAGAACTGTTACTGATCAAGACCACCAGGACAAGGCCTCTTTCAGGCCTTTGGCAGGACACTTACACTTCTGTGTTAGCAAAGTATTTTGTTGGGTAGCAGGGCAGTTCTTGTAATTACATGATATAATAAGAGTTTAAATGACTAAAGATAGGGAAACGTTTAAATGCTTTTCTGAAGTGACTGCTAAAACATGAGAAAGTCACATAACAGTGAACTTCAAAAACTTCCTTTTATTTGTACATAGAAAGTATTGCTGAGAAATATGGAAAATTTGCAAGAACATATGTCTTACTGCAGGGTATAGTTCCAAACTGGAAATTGGTTCATCCTACCTTTTAAAACATTGTAATTAATGTCGAAATGACTATAAGTCAATGGTTAGTACAGAGTAACTCCCTACATAAATATTCTTCATGTGTTTTTTCAAGAGAAGCTACCTGGCAACTGATTGAAGAGAATGGCTGCACAATGTCACGAGCCCCATTGGGACTGATCTGTTATATGAATCAGTGCTTTGAGCACGCGTCACAGCACAGGCTTCTGTGGGGTTACACTGATAATTCTGAGAATAATTTTATAAATTGTATCCTGAACTAGTTTAGTATAAATACAGAACTGCTCCATTTAAAAACAAGACAAAATTTTGTGCTCTTGACATCTGCTTTTAGTAAGTCCTATGACATTTACCTGTAAAATAGATTAAGAGACTTTAAGAGACTTGAGAGAAAAAGATGTTATCTCCCTGTTCATTTGCTTGCCTTTTAGACACCTCCCATTCTGAATATTTACAGCACAAAACCTTGCTCACCTTAACAAAACTCAGTAAAAGGTACAGTTTCATCACTTACGCACCACGCAAGGCAGAATTCTTATCTGACTCTTTAGCGTTTCAGTCTTACAGAAGCAAAAATTAAGCTGCCTTTCATGCAGAAGCATTGCTTGCTGTCCTGAAGCTGTGATCTGACCTTCCCTTTCAGGTTCAGCATCAGGGGAAGCACAAGCAGAACAGGTAAGTTACAGATGCAATCTCACATGTCTGAATTTGAAGGATAAATCTCACTTGGCAGCAGATTTTGGTCATGCTGGCAGGATTGGTTACTGTTTGGCAGCAGTCCTCATTTTTATTGTGTCTTCCTTACATAAATTGCAAATATTTAAGGCTAAAATCACCAAAGTGGTGATTTTTCATGCGCTACAGAACTGTCACTCCTTCATAAATCTAATCACCTGCTATCATAGGCAACATATAGAAAACCCTTTTCTTAGAATTATCCTTTTTCCTTAAAAACAGTTTTGTGTTTATATCTTCAAATTTTCTCTCTGCTCTATCTTGGTTGGTTAGAAACCTTCCTTAATTTCCAAATTGTATTTGTGGCCACTTAATTTATCTTAAATTTATCCTTTTATCTCAATTTATCTTCTGCTGGTGTTGCCCATTAATTTAAAGTAGCCATTGCCTCTTCAAGGCAAATGCCTCCACATCTTCTGGGCAATATGTGCATACGAATAAGGGAAACAAGCTCAGAATCAAATCTCTCCTTTTCAGCCTTTATTTTTCAGGCTGAAACAGCTTTGCTTGTTCATCCCACTGTCTCGTAAGGGGAGCTCACCGTTTCCTCGGTCATCATACAGATATTGGCCCAGACAGGCACGTTGCGTGGGCTTGGAGCTGGCTGGCTGCAGAGCAGCAGCAGAAATGAAATATGAAGTCTCCTAAAAGAAGTCTCTTGGCATCCCTGATCACTTTGAACACTGTATGAGCAGGCTGAGATGGGGCCTAGGTAGGAGCACGTTAGGTAGGCTTGACTTGTGGCTCAAGTCCGTCCTTCTTGAATGTGAGTAACTGGAACTTAACTCTTCTGGCAGTCCTGGCCACGCTGTATGATGGTGTTACTGCTTCCCAACCTGCTGGAACCTTTACCCGAGACCACCCTGGACCCTACTTGCCATGTTCATGTTGGGCATCCTGCGTTTGATGAGCACCCCTAGGAGCTCTTCTCCCGTTTGATCTCCAGCAGCCAAGGATCAGACAGAGCTCTGTGTAACACCACTGTGCTGCGTCAGTGGCCCAGACATCCCATTTAAAGGCAGGGTGGGGATCTCCAAACTGAGCTGTCCCGTGCAGAGCGAGTGTCTCCAAAGCAATGGATGTGCTCCCTCAGCAGCTTGGAAAAGGCCTCGTGCCACGCTTGGGCCTGTTTCCAGCCACCACCTCAAGAGCATAATCTGTTAATCAAACACAAAGGCTGGGCAAGTCGCACACAAAAAGCAATTTCCCTGACCAAAGCAGGCTGTCCTCTCTGAAGGCCTTCCCTTTTGCCTCTCTTGGCCCTGCACTCTCTAGAGGTCGGGTCCTTCCTCTCAGTCCCCTGCTCAGTCAGATC